AACAAAACTAGATACAGCAAACGCTTGATGTAAGTAACTGACGTCATACCAAGAAAGACGCAACGCAAGGTAAACTATTAATCAAAGCTCACCGTTAAAAAGAAACATTTCTTTTTTTCCAATTCCCGGCTGCCCTTCCGAGCAATAGAGTACGTAAATAAGCGGCTGACCGCACGTGAATAAAAAAAAAAGAAATAAATAAATAAAAGGAACCCACAAAAAAGTGTCTTGAATGTGCCATTTTTTACAATTCAAAATAGACTAAAAATTATAATACATAAACGCTGGGTCAACTTATGAAACACTTGACCTCATAGGCTACACACATTCCTATTATGACCAATGTCGAACATTATCAACCATCATCTGATAGGTTTGTTGGTTGAAATTTGCGCAAAGCTATTCAAAGGCTATATCTATGCTAGTCTTCTCTAACTCAGCAGTGATAGACTAGAGGGGAACGCAGATAGTTAACTTCATCCACCGTCAACTTTTGGGATACTCTTTACCAACAAACGGTGGGATTGACCGTCACATAATAACACCCCCACAGTTGAAAGTGTGAGCATGTTCGGTGACGGGTTTCGACCCCGCGACCCCGCAGATCGAGAGTCGAGTATCTTATCTTAACCACCAGGCGATGCGAGACCTCATCTGGTAGATTAACTCTAGAATTACCGATGTGACCGAAACGGCTTCTTTAACAAATATTGTTCTAAGCTACTTGTAGGTCTAGTACTTTGTTTGTTATGAGCCTCCTAATGACACAGAAAAATTTAAATAAAAATATAATCAATATTTCAATTATTCCCAATAATTACTAATGGGTCCCCCTGTGTATTTTACTTAGAAAATGAGTAATTTCACCCAATTTACTTATTTGGTCAGTTCTTTACACAGAGTCTTGCAACCCAAACTTAAAATTACTTAGTATGATGTCATATGTGAACCCCACCGGTAGTGAAAATATAAAAACAACTCGATAACTTGAGGGCTAATATATATTAAACTTTGCTGTTCGTATATGCTTTTGTCATTACATGTTTATAGATATAATAACTTTACTCGGCACGATATAGCTATAACAGTGAACATTCGAACCAGGATAATTCACGTCTTCAAACTTCTTTTATTTCTGCGCAAAAACCTTTTAAGCGATAATGTTACGTTTAACGACCTTCTACTGCATTGCAACATAGGTCTAAGTTACAAAATGCTTGAACTTTCTTTTGGACAACTCATAACAAACAAACAGGTAATTATATTTTCATAACGTTAGATACTTTTATTCGTTAAGTTGCATTTTGACACTCAAAGCCCGTAATGTATTTGTACAGCTATTGTTAGACCAATGTGATTAGGAAGAATTATAGGAGCTTATTAAGAATGCTAGCTTCTTCTAGCACGGGAATTATATCAGTTTGTTGGCTAATTCACTCAAAATATAAGCATGAGAAAATTAGAATTCAGGCGAGAACAAAAACAAAACAAAATTATTCAATTTTTGGCTTAACTTCTATGGTAGTGGATATTATCTTTTTGATGACTCCCTTCTGTCTTGATGAAGAGTGAATTCTGTTTGCTTTCCTGGTTCCAATAATTTCTAATATACATAGTTTCCCGTGTTCCCATACATAATGATAGAAGACTGTAATAACTGTCCTATTCGTAAATTTATGGATTTTCTCTTTGTGACACCTATTTGTTTATAGTGACGTTACATAATTGTTGTTCCTCCTATTTCCGCTCCCTTCTTCTTCATTAAAAAATTGTTGTTCCTCCTAACTCCGCTCCTCTTTTCTTCGTTACAAAATTGTTCCTCCTGCTACCGCTCCCTCCTTTTCTTCATTGCAAAATTGTTGTTCCTCCTAACCCCGCTCCTTTCTTCTTCGTTACAAAATTGTTGTTCCTGAAGAAAAGGAGCGGAGTTAGGGTTACAAAATGTTGTTCCTTCTAACCCTGCTCCTTTCTTCTTCGTTACAAAATTGTTCCTCCTGCTACCGCTCCCTTCTTCATTAAAAAATTGTTGTTCCTCCTAACCCCACTCCTTTCTTCTTCGTTACAAAATTGTTGTTCCTCCTAACTCCGCTCCTCTTTTCTTCGTTACAAAATTGTTCCTCCTGCTACCGCTCCCTCCTTTTCATTACAAAATTGTTGTTCCTCCTAACCCCACTCCTTTCTTCTTCGTTACAAAATTGTTGTTCCTCCTAACTCCGCTCCTCTTTTCTTCGTTACAAAATTGCTGTTCCTCCTGCTACCGCTCCCTCCTTTTCATTACAAAATTGTTGTTCCTCCTAACTCCGCTCCAATCTTCTTCATTGCAAAACTGTTG